ATTTGTAACGTCTTTACTATGAAGCAATTTTATGCATTACTTACTTTAATTTAATAATGTAACAATTCCTTTGGGTTGTTATTTTTCTTTATTAATATGTAAATTTTCGCTGCCTATTTGTATGAGAATAATTTTTTATGAAAAATATTTTTTAAGCTTTAATTATTTTCAATATCATTAATCCTTAAACAAGTTTTTCATATATAAATTTAATAAAGCTTTTCTAAAAATTCTCCACTTTCTATAAAGCATTTAAATCTATGATTTATCTGGCTTAAGAGCTTTTTTGAAAAGCTCTTTTTGTAAGAAAATCTTTATTGAGAAAATTTTTTCGTTGTAAAATATGTATTTAAAAAAAAACTTTTTTGGAAAAGCTCGTTATGATAATATTTTTTAAGCTTCAATTATTTTCAATATCATTAATTTTTAAAATAGTTTTTCATATATAAATTTATAAAGCTTTTCTAAAAATTCTCTACTTTCTATAAAGCATTTAAATTGATGATTTATCTGAATTAAGAACTTTTTTGAAAAGCTCTTTTTGTAAGAAAATCTTTATTGGGAAAGGTTTTTTGAAAAAGTGGTATTTGTTAAAAAGCTTTTTTGGAAAAGCTCGTTGTGATAAAAAAGCTATATGGAAAGCTGTTTAAAAAATTCTACTTTTTTAACTCTAATCATCTTTTGAAAATTATGTATTTTATACAAAACATTTAAGTAAATTTTTATTACCAAAATGATCCTAAAAACTTTTTTTTGGAAATTATGTTATACAGCTTTTTTAAAAGCTCTTTCTGTTAAGAAAAAAAGTAGTAAACCTTTTTTTGTTAATAAAGCTTTTTTGGAAAAAATCCTTTTAAAAGTGGAAGTTGTTTAAAAAATAAGCTTCTACAAAGAAAGTAAGTCTACTTTTTTGTAAAAGCTTTTTTAAATAAGATTTTGTGGCAAAAAAACTTATTTTAAAAAATTGTTATATAAAATGCATTGATTTTATAAACCATTCCCCTCATTCCTTTTAATAGTTCCTGCTAAAAACATTTTTAAAATTACTATTTTGTTAAAAAGTATTTGTTTACTTAAAAAACGTTATTTTTGTAAAAAGCTCTTTCTTCAAAAAAAAAGTTTTATGACAAAATTTTTTGCTAAAAAACTATTTTTGGTAAAGTTTTTTTGCTTAAAACTTTATTTATGAAAGTATTGTGGTAAAAAAGCTTTTTCATGAAAAAATTGTCTTATAAACCAGTTTGTTAATGAGAAACTTTACTTATGAAACTTTTTTGGTAAAATAGTTTGTTTTTCTTTTTTTTTGTGAAAATTTTTTATAAATTTATTTTGAATAAAATAATATAATTTTTTATTGCCAGGACTTCCTTCCAGTACTCATTGCTTGAAACCAGTTTTATTCATTTATATACAAATATAATCCTGATAAGGACAACATTTTTTGAGTTCAACTTATCTTGTTGTAATTTGTAACTCCATCTAACTCGATCTAATCCTCTTTTGTCAGCCAACTCTTCACAAATAATGATCACTTTGAAAATAATTATATGTTAGAAATCATGACAGAGAGCAAAATTGTGTCATCGTTAACATCATTTTTGTGGTTATATAATACTACCATAAAGACAGTTTAAGCGTAAAATGGATTTCTGAATTATATTCATACCAAACAAACACACATACATATATTTATACAATCTCTTTCACACACATACACACACACTTTAATTTCGATGTGTATAAATGCCCGCACCTCACTGCCAACAATTACATACTCTTTCGACAGCAGTGTTTATAAGTTGGCCTGTGATGGCAAAGTAGAAGAAGAGTAATGGCAGCCAATGTATGAGAGTGTTTATGCAAATAGTGCAACACATCCACTTGCAATGAGCAATTGAATTTAAACGGTTGCACGTACTAGTAGATACAACTAAATACATACATATATTTGAATGTCTGTTTGTATTTGTTTGTTGCCACATAGTTTCTTCTTTTTTTTTTTGGTTTTTAAACATTTTCAAATTATTACAATTGCTGATTTGGCAAAATACAAGTGGGTTCATTGTGAAATTTCAAGGTTTTTTTGTTTTTTAAAATTATTTCTCCTTGCATCACACACATACGAGACGGGAATGTGTATGTAGATTTCTGTTTTTTTTATTTTTCCCTTTTACTTTACAGTGTTTAATGTACATGACACTTGTAGGTGTAGAGTTTCTGTGAGTGTATGCAAAAGATTTTTGTCATTGTGATTGTAAATTGTTATGAATTATACCCTACAATACTTACTGTATTATGTTTTTGCTAACATTAGTTACATACAAACTAACATTACTCCATTTGGAAAAATTGTTTTAGTTACATCCGTCCATCCTCTAGTTCGCCTGTATATTTGTATATCGCCTTTGTTAATATGAAATTCAATGAAATTTTGTTGTAATCAAACTTAAATGATCAAAACTTGTACACTATGTCGATCGATCTTTCATTAGCTTTCTTATAAAACTTTTCTATATCTTTTTTTATGTAGTTGTAAGCTATCATAAGTTCGGGCTTGACTTGCTTTACTTCATTCATTCATATGTCTGAATATGAGTACTTTAAGAGGTGGAAATACTTTATTTTGTTGTTAACAAATGAAAATGCTTTTTGTTGTTTGATCATCAACATAATCAACAGCAACGACAACCTCGTCGTCATCACCATCATTTGCATCAGCAAAACCATCATCTTACTCTCTGTGTTAAACTGTCACAAACTTGTTTTTTTCGTTTTCATTTCTTTTTTGCAGTTTCTATTCTGTTGAGCTCTACATGAGTGTATGTTTGCTAAAACCTTGTACGTAAATGTGTTTCAAAGTGTTAACGCCTTAAACATGTTTTTTTTCCTTCCACTTTTGCTTTAGCAGGAAACCGGCTAAAGTGTGTATGAAAAGGTTGGGGATGCAACCAAAGTGTTGGCTTAAATAAAAACCCACAACCATCAACCATTTGAAATTGTGAGATTTTTGTGCCAACTGCAAGCATGTGCATATAAATCTGCAAGTATTTAAAAAAGGCATATCCTGTCTCTCACTCACTCACTCATTCACTTACTCACACCGAGACTCATTTGGCTGAGGACACATTTCGATGTGTGGTACACAAGATTGCCTTTCAGCCTATTAGTTGTTAAATGCGGTTAAACACGGTGTCAAACCACAAACTTTATTCTCACCTCAAAACTACAACAACTTCAAATCAACAAAAGGCAGCTCAACAACAGACAAATTTTATTTTCCATATTTATTTCGGTTGTATTTACCACATCCTTTAGATAATAACCTTTTCTTCTTTAACTCCTAACTAAGGCTGTGTAGGTGTTTTTGTAGAAGTATTTCATTGTCTTGTAGGGGAGGTTTTGGAAGAAAATTTTAATTTCTTTAAAAGTTTTAGTTGGTTTATGTGTGTGCGCGTGTGTGGCAAAGAAAAAACTTTTCTCTGTCATATGTTTACTGCGGTTTTTAATTTGAAATGTGTAGTTTTTTTACAACAAAAAAAAAAACATATTTATATACAAGTTTTTGCTTTTTATGTTTTAAAATAAATTGAATGAACTAAAAAAAAGTTTTCTTCATTATATTTATTTCTATGAGAATAGCTGTCAGTTTCAGGGTTATAGCTGTTTATTTTACTGTTAACACTAAATTGTATAATGGGTTTTAAAATGGGTGAAAAGTTTAAGTCTTGGGATATAAAACTCTGGTTGTCGAAATTATTATTTTTTTAATGAATGCTCTTCCATTATTAGACAGAGGGACAGGCAGACAGACAGAGGGACAGGCAGAGTCCCTCTGACACACGGATAGACAGACAGACATGGCTTAATCGACTCCGATATATAAAAGGATCGGAAAATTATATTGTGGATATTACACACGGAATGACAAACTCTCACGAAGGTGAAGGGTATAAAAATATTAGAAATTTTTCAGATTTTTTTAACGCATGAATAATTTGGCGTAAAAGCTGTTTAAATTAATTTGTATTAAAATTTTATTAGTTTTTGCGTAAAATCTGTTTTTGTGTTAAATCAGAGCTTTTGAGAAAAACTGAGTTTTTATTTCCTTTCTCCGTTCATGCTTCCGCCTAAGATAATAATTGTGTTACAGAGCGTATGACTGATTTTCTACTTATGTTAACTACAATCAATCATACGCTCCCGTATCCAATGTAAAACTATTATATCCGGAACTCTTAGCTTATAAGACTAAGTAATTTTATACTTATTTGCTTATTTACAAATATTTGACACTTTTTTAAAGTTTTTCTTTTATATGTTCCTAAGTATATAAAAAAACTTACACACTTTTGTTTATAATTAGTTCCACAAAGACTTTCAATTATCGTTCTACTACTTTTAAGCTAAATAAAACTTTTTCAATATTTCCACAATAATTTCATTTCCTTAAATAACTAACACACATTGCACCTGAGAACTATTGCCGCTGCTGCTACTGCTGCTAAGTAATAATCATGTTAAAACTTTTTCCTTTGTTATTTAAGCTCCAAATGGCAAATAATAGTTTTGCTGTCATTTACAGTTTAGTTGTTTTGCCATTTAAAATACATACAATATAAATAGAATGAACAGAACAGCTAATTGCAATATGATGCAGAAAACACAGATACTATTTTGCTTGGTTCATATACATAAGAACATACAAAAATACTTAAATAATGTAGATACACAAGCATACACTCATACTTGTACTTGAGCACAGTTTTTGTTCTTTCGCTAAATAGCAAATGTTGTGATAATCTTATTATCTGTATTTATTTGTTAATTTAATTTTTGTTTGTTCTTTTCTTTTTCAGTGTTTTTCTACCTTTAATTATCAAATGTAATTTTAATGATATTTTAATACAAGCATAAATGTAACAGATGATTATATTTTAATATTTATAAGTATTGTTTAACATAATTTGTTGCTAAGTTTGTTTGTTTTCTCTATTTTGCAGAAGCCGACTATACGCTGGACGATTCATTTTGGAATGAAGAAAGTCCTGTTGGTAAGTACTGATACTAAATTTGTTGTTGTTAAAATAGCTATTAAGCAAATGAGAAAATGTTGTGTAATGAAATGATACCAAATAGAGTTAAACTATTTATGTAAAATAAAAAAAGCCAGGAAATGTTTTTTTTAGCATTTTATTTAAAAGTAATTTAATGCAGTTTTAACTGTTAACTGTTAGTATGACCATTTAATAAATTATTTTAAATAAATATATGATTTTAAATTCTTTCGAGATTTTAAGTTTACCAAACAAAATATTAAATTAATTTCGTAATCCTTAAATTAATTTTAAATTTTATTTTTTACATTTACATTAAAATTTTAATAAATTTGTGGGTTTTTGCATTTTCTTGTTAATTGTTTATTTTTTGTGTTCACACATCAGTTGTTTAATTGAAATTTATTTATAAATATATATAGAAATAAATTATATTGCAATAAACATTTGCTTAAGATTTCTCTTGTAATTGTCATTAATAATGACAATTTACACAAACATATATGTTTATATAAATGTGTATGTATATGTAATGTATGAACCTACACACTTACATTAAGGTTTTTTATGACAAATCTCTTATTTTGGGAAACTGTTTAAGTGATTACTTGATACGGAAACTAAACATTAAAAGTAGAGATTTATGTAAAAATCGAGAATGTGAAAGCATAGAACTGAACTGTAAAAACTAAGTTTTAAGGTGAAAACTGAATTTTTGTGTAAAAACAAAGTTTTTGTGTAAAAACTAAATTTTTGTGTAAAAACTAAGTTTTTGTTTAAGAACTAAGTTTTTGTGTAAAAACTAAGTTTTTGTGTTAAAACTAAGTTTTTGTGTAAAAACAAAGTTTTTGTGTAAAAACTAAATTTTTGTGTAAAAACTAAGTTTTTGTGTAAAAACTAAGTTTTTGTGTAAAAACAAAGTTTTTGTGTAAAAACAAAATTTTTGTGTAAAATCTAAGTTTTGGTGTAAAAACTAAGCTTTTGTGTAAAAAATAAGTTTTGGTGTAAAAACTAAGTTTTTGTGTAAAACTGAGTTTTTGTGTAAAAACTAAGTTTTTGTGTAAAAACTAAGTTTTCGTGTAGAAACTAAGTTTCTGTGTAAAACTGAGTTTTTGTGTAAAAAATACGTTTTTGTATAAAACTAAGTTTTTGTGTAAAAACTGAGTTTTTGTGTAAAAACTAAGTTTTCGTGTTAAAACTAAGTTTTCGTGAAAAAAAAAAAAAAATTTGTGTAAAAACAAAGTTTTTGTGTAAAAACTGAGTTTTTGTGTAAAAACTGAGTTTTTGTGTAAAAACTGAGTTTTTGTGTAAAAACTGAGTTTTTGTGTAAAAACTGAGTTTTTGTGTAAAAACTGAGTTTTTGTGTAAAAACTGAGTTTTTGTGTAAAAACTGAGTTTTCGTGTAGAAACTAAGTTTTTGTGTAAAACTAAGTTTTTGTGTAAAAACTAAGTTTTTGTGTAAAAAGTAAGTTTTCGTGTAGAAACTAAGTTTTTGTGTAAAACTAAGTTTTTGTGTAAAACTAAGTTTTTGTGTAAAAACTGCGTTTTTGTGTAAAACTAAGTTTTTGTGTAAAACTAAGTTTTTGTGTAAAAACTAAGTTTTTGTGTAAAAACTAAGTTTTTGTGTAAAAACTAAGTTTTTGTGTAAAAACTAAGTTTTTGTGTAAAAACTAAGTTTTTGTGTAAACACTAAGTTTTTGTGTAAAAACTAAGTTTTCGTGTAAAAACTAAGTTTTCGTGTAAAAACAAAGTTTTTGTGTAAAGACTTAAGTTTTTGTGTAAAAGCTAAGTTTTTGCGTTTTATTGTAGAAACTAAGTGTTTGTGAAAAAATTTCGATTTTGTATAAAATATGGGTTTTTGTTAAAAGAAAATATTTTTGTGTAAAAATTAAGTATTTGTGTAATAACTGAATAATTGTGTAATTTAGCGCAATAACAAAGGTTTTGAGAAAAACCTAGTTTTTGAGGAAACCTGCGTTTTTGCATAAATACTTTTACGTTTTTATATAAAAACATAGTTTTGGTGTCAAAACTGATTATAGGACTCAAATTTTTAACATTGAGTTTGATTGACAGAAATTGTAACAATCAAAAAATTTAAAAAGTCACCCTAATAAACACACACTCCTATTTCATAATACGAATATACATCACTATATGCATGTATACAATACAAATATAAAATACTTTTACACACACTCTATGGATTACAAATAACTTACTTATACATAAATCTTAAAAATTGTGATTTTCATTTATATAATTACTAATAATCATACAATTTATATAATAAAGATAATATTGGATAATTATTACAAAACAACTGTTCTATAAAAGATTAAATAATAGAATAAACATTTCTTAATATAGACTAAAGAATGAATAATTGAATGAAATTTATAAATGTTTGTTCAAATAGACCGGCCTACTGACCAACCGACCAACCGACCGAACGACAATGGGTTTATAAAACAAAAGGATATAATTTTACAAAATAATTACAAACTCAATTAAAGATAAAATCGACAAAATAATAATATTTTCTTTAAACTGAAGCTGACACAAAACAATCAAAATAATTAACACTTAAAATTTACAACAAATTTTTGTAGCAACTTCATGTTGTTGTTGATTTTCCCCCAACCTTGGAAATTACAATGAATTATAAAATATGGCCTGGTCTTCTTGAAACACACAAACTCAACTGCTATACAATTACAGCTTTTGGTTTTTAAATATATTGGCCTAGCAAACTATGTATGACTCGAATAGCTGCATAAGTCTGTGAGAATAAATGTTTTTAAATCCTGTCTAACATCCTTATTAATTATAAACCCACAAATAAATCTTTGGCTACTTGTTTGCCACTAAAAGAAGAAGAAGTATTTTACAAACTAAAATTACAAAAAGGCCAGTCTTAAAATTAAATGAAAATTTTTGAACATATTTTCAAAGAAATGGTTTTTAAAAGAACTTTTTAGTTTAATCTCCCTCAAACTTTAGATGAACAATGAACATGTGAAAATCATGTTCGTGCCAGATGTTTCCTTCGTTGCAAACGTTTTTCATTGCACTCACACAATAACATGCAACAAGGTGCAGTATGAACAAACTGGTCATAATGCCCCCTCCTGTCCTGAGTGTTAAAGTAAACAGGATAAAAGATTTTTCTTTTAACTGTTTTTACTCTTCAAAATTATTTATGTTGCTGTTGTTGTTTTTAACTATTAACTGCAACTGCAAAGATATGTAAGAGAATGCCTCGGACTGTGTGTATGTGCTTGTGTTAAATTGTGGTTTACAATAAAATTGTTTAGATTCTACACAAAAATACATTCATTCACCCATAAATTGCTCTATATATTCCTCGCTTTCGTCTCCTAAGAAAATCTAAACTTACAAACAAAATTGTGGGACGAAAATGATTAACGTTAGAGAAATTAGATTTTCATTTTTCAAGAAGAAAACTTTACACAATTGCACAATTGCAAACAGATGTTGAAAGACAAACAAACATATATACATGCAACCAAACAAATCTCATAAAATACACTCATAGAGATGAAGAGATAAAAAGCTTTTTGTGTTTTTTGTGGGATTAAAGGAATAATGAAAAATTAATTGAAAAGTTTTGATGTTTTTTTATAGAGTTGTAAAATGTATATTTTACTTGTTGGTAGACACATATAAACAATTTGTGGTTGACTATACATTTACACATATTTCGTAAGTAATATAGAATTAGAAACTCATATTTTATACGGTACTTAGTCCTGGCTAGTATAGTCCAAATTATACATAACGCTTTAGTCCAAAATGTAACTTAATATATATCATGGATTGCAGCGCTCGTGAAACTATATAGTTCAAATTATTGGGCTTCTGTAGTCCAGACAATAACAATGTATATTTTTTAGTCCATCCTATAGCTTGGTCTACAGTCCAGTCTACAGCTTTGCCTATAGTCCAGACTATAGCATACTCTATAGTCCAGACTATAGCTTAATCTATAGTCCAGACAATAGCTTAGTTTATATTTCAGACAATAGCTTAGTCTATAGCCAAACTATAGCTTAGTCTATAGTCCAGACTATAGCATTGTCTATAGTCCAGACTATAGCCTAGTCTATAGTCCAAACTGTAGCTTAGTCTATAGTCCAGACTATAGCATAGTCTATAGTCCAGACTATAGCTAAATCTATAGTCCAGACTATAGCTTAGTCTATAGTCCAGACTATAGCTAAATCTATAGTCCAGACTATAGCTAAATCTATAGTCCAGACTATAGCTTAGTCTATAATCCAGACTATAGTCCAGACTATAGCTTAGTCTATAGTCCAGACTATAGCTTAGTCTATAGTCCAGACTATAGCTTAGTCTATAGTCCAGACTCTAGCTTAGTCTATAGTCCAGACTATAGCTTAGTCTATAGTCCAGACTATAGCTTAGTCTATAGTCCAGACTATAGCTTAGTCTATAGTCCAGACTATAGGTTAGTCTATAGTCCAGACTATATCTTAGTCTATAGTCCAGACTATATCTTAGTCTATAGTCCAGACTATAGCTTAGTCTATAGTCCAGACAATAGCTTAGTCTATAGTCTAAACTATAGCTTAGTCTATAGTCCAGACTATAGCTTACTCTATAGTCAAGACTATAGCTTAGTCTATAATCAAGACTATAGCTTAGTTTATAGTCAAGACTATAGCTTAGTCTATAGTCCAGACTATAGCTTAGTCTATAGTCCAGACTATAGCTTGGTCTATAGTCCAGACTATAGCTTAGTCTATAGTCCAGACAATAGCTTAGTCTATAGTCCAGACAATAGCTTAGTCTATAGTCTAAACTATAGCTTAGTCTATAGTCCAGACTATAGCTTAGTCTATAGTCCAGACTATAGCTTAGTCTATAGTCCAGACTATAGCTTAGTCTACAGTCCAGACTATAGCTTAGTCTATAGTCCAGACTATAGCTTAGTCTATAGTCCAGACTATAGC